AGGAGAAACTCTTATTCCCATCCTCACTCTGTTTTAAAGAATTACCTTCAGGGGCCCTCCCTGGTGGCACAACGGGTTAGGTCGCAGCACTGCAAGCTGGCCACAGCCGCTTCAGTGCCAGCTCGATCCCCAGCCCCAGAGCTGACCCACACGGCAGCAGACCTCTCCTGACTCTCCCGCTGCTCCCCTCAGCAGTGTGCATTGTCCATCTGCCTGTTCTGCTCCCCACTGACTCTGGTGAATCCTCTCACTACCCCTGCACCTCGGGCCTGTACTCCAGCTCTACATGTATAAATAAATCTCTAAAAAGGAAGAAAGGCATACCTTCAGGATAATGAGGATCCTACCCCTTCAGGTGAAGTCAGAGCTCTGTCTGCCACCAGGGTGTGCTCTTGACCAAGTGGCCTTCTGCCAAGTGAAGTCCTTTCACAAGCTAGAGTAATTCTGCTCTGACCTTGTTTCCATGGTAACAGTTGGCATTTTAAATGAGTTGGTGAATAATTTTTTAAAAAATAATGGTAGATACCTATGAAATTGCAAATGTAGCACAAGAAGCCATGTGTATCCTTCGTGCAGCTTCTCCCAGGGCTGACATTCAAATGATGTTAGTCTAGTTAATCTCTAATTATAGATCTAACTATAGATCTTACTCAGTTTTTAGTATTGTTTGCATGAATTCATGTGTGTGTGGAGGGGGTTCCTTTGTGGCAGGAACTTCTGCGTTACCATGGGCTCACAAAACGACATATAAAAGCTCAATCTATAAAAGACATAAAAATGACTTGCTGAGGACACCATCCCTCTCCCAAGTTCCAGCTACTTTTTCTGTGAAGTACTTTATCCTGCTTATATTATGCATTTATGCACCTGGTAATTTAATTCATTTTGGTTTTACTAGACTGAAAACTAGGCGTACAAGAACCGTTATTTTTATTGTATTTAAAAAAGATTTATTTATGTATGCACGCAAGAACTGGGGTATAAGCCAGAGGTGGGGGTGGGAGTGAGAGGATTCACAGACTGGGGAGCAGAACAGGCAGATGTACTGAAATACACTGCTGAAGGGAGCAGCTGGCAGGACAGGAGGTCTGCTGTGCCATGTGGGTCAGCTCCCTGGCTGGGAATCAAACCCTTGCTACAGCAGCTAGCAATAGCTTGATAGTGCTGCATCTTTAACCCCTGTGCCCAAGAGGAGGGCACAGAGAGGCCCAAGGGCACAGGGAGGCCCAAGAGCCATTATTTTTAATTGCTCAGCATTAATTCCATAGCATGTGTAATAGCTATGTATAACCCATAGCATGGGTTGTTGCAACCCCAATGATCCTTGCCTCCTGATAGTCACACCCACCCCTGTGTCTGTTTTCCCTTTCCATACCTAGAGCGATAGGGCTCAGATTAATACAGGACATATGGTTAAGTCTGAATTTCAAAGAAGACAATGATAAGTAATTTAGTGTGTTGTAATATTTTGTGGGCCCTATGTATGCTAAAGGCTTATTCATTGTTGTATCTGAAAGTTGTATTTGGAGACATACTGTATTTTAATCTGTTGAATCTGGAAACTCTAATGAAGGCTGACCATGTAATCACTAACAAATGACAGTGTGGTACTTCTGCCACCTGGTAGACAAAGCCCTGCAGCCTGCCGTCTCTTGGCTCTTCTCTGTCACCAGCATACTCGGCAACTCTATTCAGAGGCTCCATTGGCAGGGACAGGAAGCCTCCTGCCTACAGCCAGCACCAGCTATCAACCATGTGACACCTCTGGAAACGGATCACCCAACCCCAGTCAAGCCTGCAGGTGGGTGCAATCCCAACTGACCTCTTAACTGCAATGCCAAGAGACACCCCGATTCAGAACCACCCAACCTAGCCACTCTTCAATTCCTACCTAAGACATTGTCTGAGCTGGTGTTCACTGTCATTTCAAGCCACTATGTTGGGAGGTATTTGTTACTCTGTAATAATAGACAATAGCTAGGAGGTCACTAAACATTTGTTAACGATTAAGTGAACAAATGAATGGTGATGACTGCAGGTCCTCACTCTACCTGTGCTTTTGAGACTGCCTTAAACCCATGGACACTCATGTCCCAGCTTTCTATAAAGGGACAGAGTCTTGACAAATTCTTTAAAGGCAAGTAGGGTGGAGACCATCTGTAACAAACATTAAAGGGAAACCAAATGTGCTAATTTCAGCTGATCTTGACTTTCAATTCTGCCAAGTTGAGGACATGATCTATATTTTTGTGATGAATTTCTAAATAAGACTGAGCCATGTGCAACTGAATAATGTCACTGTCCTAGAAAAGGTACTTGTGCTAGACTTTAAATATATCAGCTTTGAAATGTCACTTACAGATTGTTTCTATGGTATCAACCTATTTAAAGTTGTAACTGAGCAAGGAATTTTTTCTCCCAAATCTTTTGAAAATGTATGACACAGGCTATGTTGGGGCAGGGGGAAAGGGCAAGAGAAGCGTGGATACAGGTGCGGTACCTCAGAAGGTTAAGGAATCAAAGCGATGATGTTTGTCTTTGTGACCCCGAGCAGACAGGACTCACTCTGTAAGTATTAGCTCAAATAACTGGACAGAGAAGGTGTGGGAGCCCAGGCACAGTAGAACAGAGGAAGCAGAGGCCTAGAATTCCGAACTCTGGCATTCTGAGTCTGGCTTTGTCCATAAACTCGCTGCGTTGCCCTGGTCACACCTCGGTAGTATAGCCTCGTCACTGCCTCATCTGTGCAAATGAAGGGGTGGATGGATGGGTGGCCCGGCCTCGCCAGGCGCCTGCTCAGTGGTTGCCTGGCAACCCTTTCTGGGTTCCACATCTGAGCACCTCATTGGGAATCTAGACACGGGCCTGTATGCCCCTGAGTCCCAGAGCAAGGGTTTTTCTAGGCAGTGATTGAAGACCAGGCAGGGTGTGTGATCCTGAATATAAACCGCTGCTCACTTCTTTCCTTGCTTTTCCTCAGGCTCAGCATTTGCACCCAGAAGTCCTGGAAACTACTAATCTATGGGGATGAAACTGCAAACTTCAACTTCCATGTGAAGAATGAGAGTGCTCCTTTAATTTAAAATGTTTTAAGTATTACAGAAAACATTTTTCTTTTGAGGTTAAGTTGTGGACTTGATACCTTACCACCACCACCACCCTCAATACTTTAATATTTCAACAAACAAATAAACAAACATCGAAAACGTTCTCCAATGTAATCACAGGACAACACTTAAAATAAGGAAATTAAGATGAACTCATCACCACCATGAAAACCTCACTGTTTAGATTTGCCAGTTTTCCCACAACTTCCTTTGTAGCAGAAATTCCAGTGTGGGTTGCATTTAATTGTCGAGTCGCTTTAGTCTCCTTGAGTCTGGAACTGTTCCAGGGTCTTTATTTGACCTCCATGACCAAAGCATTTTTGAAGATTACAGGTCAGTTGTAAAATAGCCACTATTTGGGTTTGTTTAGTGTATCCCAGTGAGTTGACTCAGGGTATGTATCTTTGGCAGGAATGTCACAGCTGTGACTTCAGAACAATCACTTCAAGCAGTCCATGATTTCAGTTTTTCCCATTCTTGAGGGTGTCCAGTCTGATCGCTGGATCAGAGACTTGCTCTTAATGACCCCACAACAATCCACAAAGTTTCCTTCTCTAGAGGCCATGTGGTGGGGTTCTCTGGTGAAGTAAATCCACTCAACATCAAAGTAACTGCAGCTCTATAAAGTTTTCATGTAAAGTTACAGAAAGAGCTATTGAGAAGCCAAGTTGGCTTTGAGCTGTAACAACTGCATGTTTGTCTTTGTGTGTCAAGAACAGTGATATCACATGTCACATGAAGGACTAAGTCTAACCATGGTTAGTATCTAATGGCTTCATGGAAGTTCTCATTTAATAACAACCAGGGGAAGTTGGCTACAAACTATTTCACTGCAGTGCTCTTTGAATGCCCCAACTGCCTCCTGGATCTTTTCAACATGGGTGTGGAGGGGGGGAGGTGAGGGGGGGATAGAGAGAACACATGCAAGCTTCAGAGCTAATGCACCCACAGTACCTACTCTGTACTAGGTACAGTTTTAATTACTTTCTTATTTTTATGTCATTGGATCTTCAACCACTTTGCATAAAGTGTCACGATGTGTAGAGCGATATACGGCTTGAACAGATGCCCAGTTAATAAATGGCATAACTGAGGTCGAAACTCAGGGTCTGAGAGCCAACGGAGCCCAGAACCTGTGCAGGATCTCCTGTGAGGGGCGGTGGCTGTTTTGTTCCCTTGAGCTTGGCAAAGTACAAAGACTCAGTAAATTTTTATTAGATCAGTGAATGAATACATTTATTTACCAACCTGTTGAAAAAAAAGATGAAGACTTCCAGGAGAAAATATACAGGAATTTCTAGAGTTTGCCTACTTAATTTTTCATTTCCTCAAACTCCTATAGAAGGCAACTGCTCTGTGCCCATAGTGGTTTTTAAACTGAAGGAACCTACAGATACAAGAGATGGGTGTGATCTTCATTATTTCCATGGAATGGTGTGTCACACTGTCCCTGACAACTATGTCATGAGCTAGTTCTATTATCTCCATGTTACAGATCTGGAATTGGGCAAAACAGTCTCTGGGGGCCGAGGAGGCTTGGCGACATTCACACCCCCAATCACAAGTGGAGCGGCGTTTATAAGTCCGCGCCGCAACGAGCCGACTTGCCTGGGCATTACCGCCACCCTTCTCCGCATCATTCCCGGCCCTGAAAATAACGTCTCTTTCCTAGTATCCACCACGTCAGCTAGCCCGTCTAGAGCCAAAGCCACTCTAGGGCTCTGTCTTTGCCATGGCAACCAGCGCGCCATTTCCGCTGTGGAAAACGTCATTTCCGGAGCGTCGGTTCCGACACATCCGGGTTCCGGCCGCTGGAGCGGCGCGCTTCTCGCTTCGGGTAGGATCTTGGCTTTGTACCCTGGACGCGGGAGAGGTGAGCGGGGCCTGGAACGGGGAAGGGACGAGAGCGTCCGCCTCAGTAGTAGTGGGAGCGAGGGCCGAGGGAGGGGGCTCGCCGGGGCGGCGTTCCGTCTTGCCGGCAGCCCTGCCCGGCCGGGGAAGGGGTGAAGCCGCTCCAGGCTCCTCGGGAGTCTGGGCCTGTGCGGCCCGGAAGAGCCTCCGCAGGTGACCAGCACACAGCAGGTAAGGGAGCCTCAGCCCGAACCTCAGGCCTCCTGGGGTTTCAAGCCCTGCCAGCCGTAGAACTTAGGGCAAGTTGTTTAACTTCTCCTGAGTCTCAGTTTTCTTCCCGGAACGTTAGAAACTGTTAGAAATGTCTTGCTGATTTAGCGATCAGCCAGAAAATTCCAGCAAGCACTTGGCACCCACTGACGGTTTTGATGCCAATCCTGTTATTACCTTTGTTCAGTGCTCAAGCAGGCAGGTAAGGTTGCCTCCCGTGGAGCTGGGACTCCCCACCTCCTCGGTGAGCAGCTTCCTTTCCACTCCTGGGTGAGACTGGGACCAGCTGAATCCAGGAGTAGACGAGGCGGAGAGAAATTCCTGAGGAAACTGACCAAACGCAGTAGAAATTGTAGCTGGAACAACCAGTAGGTAAGAGTCCGTCCGTGCCCCGGAAAGAGGCAGTTCCTCTGCCTGCCTGTGACTATGCAGGTATCTTTCTCTTTGTTTCTAATAAACGTACTTTTAAAATGTACGTAGAAAAATCCATCCCTGTCATATAATGAATGTCACGCCATACCAAGCACTTCAGGTGCATTTAATACTCATCCATGCCAAGTACCTAGAAGAGTTGGGATTCGATCTTAGGCTTTGATTTTCAGCACCTGATTTTACAATCACTTTGCTGTGCTCCCTCTGTAATCTGATAGTAGTGATGAGAAAAGACACTTGAATCTCACCACGTAGCTAACAAGGTTGAATTCTGTAGATGCCGGTTACAGTTGTGCTTATAATTACTGCTGCTTTCCAGCTTATTGGAGGAAGTTTGTGTTTGGGAGGAAAAGTAGGTTGGAGAGTCTCATGAAGTAATGTATTTCAGAAAGCACATTCTAAAACATGATTTCTGGTAACTGCAAAGGGTTCAGATAAAACTCTCAATAATAGGCAGAAATCTGAAGTCCAGGGTGATGTCACCCCAGTTTTTGAAGCAGTAATGTTTAGAACAATGTGAGTGTTATTATGCTGTTTGTGTACACGTGGTGTGTGTGGTCTTTTAGACCTAGACCAGGACAAGGAAATCCATGCTTGCTAACTGTTGGGTCTGATCTTTTCTCCACCTGCTTTAGCACTGGTTGTTCACTAATATATATATATATATATATATATGTATATATATATATATATGTATATATATATATATGTATATATATA